TGTCCACTAATGCGGGCAAAATTTTGGCGAACAAAGCGTTCGCTATGCGGATTGTTCGCTATGCAAGGCGTTCGCTATGCGGGGGTCCACTGTATATATATATATATATATATATGTCGGGCCGAAAATGTAAAACTGGTCAATTAGGAAGAACTCGTTTAAAATTAAGTCCCTTCTGAAATTTTCTCTTATACGTTTAAAGATATATTTTTTTCCTTAATATTAATGTAAAAAATTTTAATTTTGCACCAAAAGAATCTTAGAAAACTTACCTAACCTTATTATAACAAAAGCAATTTATTTTAGCCTAACCCAGCTAAATATATTTTAAATACGTTTACAATAATTTAATACTAAACAAACACAATCAAATATATTTTTTTCGTTAGGTTCAGAATGATTTTGGCGAAATTATTGCATACACAAATTTTCACTTGTCCTATATGGCAAGATGAGCGTTGCTATTTAAGCCAAGATCGCAAGTTCTGCCTATTCGGCACGACATAATATATATATATATATATATATATATATATATTATATATATATATATATATATATATATATATATATTATATATATATATATATATATATATTATAATAATTATATATATATATATGTATATATATATATATATAATATATATATATAATATATATATATATATATATATATATATATTGTAGGTAGTAGGTTGGTAGACAGCAACCGCCCAGGGGGGTACTACCGTCCTGCCAAGTGAGTGTAAAACGAAAGCCTGTAATTGTTTTACATGATGGTAGGATTGCTGGTGTCTTTTGTCTGTCTCATAAATATGCAAGATTACAGGTAAGTCTTGCTACTTCTACTTACACTTAGGTCACACTAAACATACATGTACAAGCATATATATAACACACCCCTCTGGTTTTCTTCTATTTTCTTTCTAATTCTTGTTCTTGTTTATTTCCTCTTATCTCCATGGGAAGTGGAACAGAATTCTTCTCTGTAAGCCATGCGTGTCGTAAGAGGCGACTAAATGCCGGAGCAAGGGGCTAGTAACCTTCTCTGTATTTACTAAATTTAAAAGGAGAAATTCAGTTTTTTCTTTGGCCACCCCACCTCAGTGGATAGGCTGTACGTTGAAAGAAGAAGAATATATATAAGTTATATATGTTATATTATGTGTGTGTGTGTGAATATGAAAAACGATTCACTTATGTACAAATTTCCTATACAGCCTCTGTAAAAGTGACTACACACAGAATTACAGTATGCTTGGAATGCTCCTTACCATGTATATTAACTTAGGTAACTATCCAGTGTTGTACTTGTCAGTCCGATTTGACGTACATACACAACACAGAACCCTACACAACACCTTACACAACACAGAACCCTGCACAACACCTTACACAACACAGAACCCTACACAACACCTTACACAACACAGAACCCTGCACAACACCGTACACAACACAACCCTACACAACACCCTACACAACACAACACTGGACGGTCCTGCACAAGTCCAGGGATGATGACCTTCCACATTAATGCACAGTACTTGGCTGATATTGTATATCAGTAGTCCTCAACCTTCCTACACAAGTGGGTCACATTTGATCATCAAATGTGTGATGAGAGCCGCGCGGTTTTGTTTACACTGTGCAGTGTGGAATCTACATAAAAGTGAATTTATAATTTCATGTGAGGGCCTCATCCATTTCCTAGGAGGGCCACATGCGGCCCGCGGGCCGTAAATTGGGGACCCCTGTTCTAGACGATGCCAGATTAAAATATGTATGCCCTATATCATTCCTGGAACACTGAGAACCTTGTCAGATTAAAATATGTATGCCCTATATCATTCCTGGAACACTGAGAACCTCCACAACTCTGGAAAATGGTATAGTGATACCGACAAGATCTGGAAAAAGATAATTATGCAGTATATACAGCTCAGAAGGCCCCTAATTGCTGTCAGTAACATTGTCCATCAAAATTCGGGAAGTTCCTCTATATCCACATTGTTAATCAATAGGATCTTAGCCATTTTGGAGACCCAACTTATCTCATTACAATATTACTTTTACCCTCGCGGATTTCCATTGACTTCAGTCCTGTATTAGGGCTGAAGCCATTCGTGGAGAAACATTCCCTCTAATGAATGTCCTGAACTGTGTCTTTTTCCCACATCCATAACTCTGAAGGAGACGCAAGTGATCGTGAATGTGTTACTGTCCAGACATTGACATTTACTGTAGCCTCACAGCTTCAAATGCTGCTTCCTCGAAATACGATCTGGGTCATCTAGTAGGATGTGCTCCCGAGGCCTGAACGACAATAAATTTGTATTTTATTTTCTCTGAGTGCAAGGTGCGGAGATCGTTGCCCGATCTCTGCTCCATCAGGCTCTTGGTAATCGCGTCTTCTTCTTGAGAGTATGAATTAAAGTACATAAAATTACTATTGATTGTCAAAATCTATGGATTTTTGTTTTTAAGAAACTTTTTCTAACTGCCCTGGGCGACATCCTTAATAAAATAACTAGGATTCCGGCAGAAATAAGCCTTATATAATATATATATATATATATATATTATATATATATATATATTTAATATATATTATATATATATATATATATATATATATATATATATATATATATATATATATATACTTACACACACAGACACACACACACATACATACTTAGGTCGTTCTGGGATAATAACTTAGGTGGCTAACACAAGAAACTTTTTCCTTCGTCCACCTTCTCCTTGCCCTCTTCGATCCTGACGGACCCTTTTCCTGTAGAAGGCTCAATGGTATCCAAAATTCTGACCCTGCAGAAAGATAATACCGTTCTTTCTAAAAGTGCCAAACTGAAGTCTGTTAAACGTTTTTCACTCTGAACATAGTTTTTTTTTTTTTTTTTTTTTTCCCACAAACATGTAAGATGACAAGTAAATGTTACGAATCTCTGCTCTTACTGTTATTCTCTTGTGTGTTTGTTAGTAATTGTTATTTGTGTAATATTTACTTCCCAGTCAGAGTGGCCGGGTCTGAGAGGCGATGATCCTAGAACCATTAACAAGAATAATATTGTATCAGTGGCCAGAGGGAAACAATGTTTTGTTGAAGATGGCAGATCAAAACAAGGTGGAGTCAGCACCGAGCAGAGTAATGCGATACACACACCTCAGGCTAGAAGACGTTCATACTGTTGATAAATTAGAAACGTGCAACACTTGGGTATCTTTATTGCGGTTACGTTTCGGCACATAGTGGCTTCCCTCATTACCAATGACAGAGAAGATTGAGTTGAAAGATAAGAAAGTTTACAAAGTAAAGATACCCAATGTTTGCATATGTGTCTAGGTTATCAACTTGTTGCTTCTCTGAGGCATTTATCTACGTCGATATTGTCCCTGGCTAAGACTAAACTACAAATTACATGTGATAATAACTAATGTAGTGATGTACACCTTGTATAATCGGTGCACATAACTGTTTAAATGATAATGTGAGAAATCACGAAAGCGCTTGGAATTTCACATATTTGCTCTGCGGTTATTATACATATGTTATCACCTGTTTACTGTGAGTTTTTTGTGCCTTTTTACATAAGGAGTTTGCAACATTGCAAGCTCCTTATGTGTTAATTGCAACACGAATGGCTTAGAGTTATCATTAAGCTCTCCCTGTGGTTATTTTACTTATCCACTCGTGGTGAGAGTAGAAGTGGAGAAGATCGTTTTAAAGTCTATCGAAAACCCACCAACCAAAACGATCTTCTCCACTTCTACTCTCACCACGACACCAAAACCAAACGTGGTGTAATTATAGGCTTCTTCCTGCGTGCACTTCAGAATTCTTCAGCAACGAGTTCCATAGGAAGAATGGCACTAAATGAACAAGTATTTTCCAAACTCCGGACTATCCTCTACACTTCATCAGAGACTGCAGACGGCGAGCATTAAAACAAACTTCAACACACCCAGGAGAAGTACACTGCGCGAGAAGAGAATACATATCCTTCCCACCAACTCCATTGCCAAACAGGTTTTCCCAACATCTTTGCCAAAACATCCATTCCAAGCTGTATCTACCACCACAAACCACGTACCAACAGGACATCACCAGTTAGTAGACGGGACAAGCTCCATCCTCTGCAGGGAAATAACCCTTGTAATGTGCAAAAAATTTATAGGGGCGAAAAACATAAAGAGACCCCAAACAGTTTTTCAAACACCAAAATGCAACAGGATGACGATAAAAGGGAAATTTGCCTGTGTACAACATCGGAATTACACAACCATTTAATTAACTATAGAAAACCCAAAACTTATAGCCCCGAAACAACACCAATACAGAAGATCCTGGAATCATCTTTTTTTTTCTATAAACCCAAAAATTTTAACCGAACAAGCTTTTATAACAAAGCGAACCCCTCGCCAAAAAACTTCTTCATCGCTTCCCACATAAAAATAGAAACTGCAAAAGGGCTACCCCAATTTTTCCAAATCCCCGCCTATACCCAGACTTACAACCCCCCCGTAATCATCTGATGCAGCAACTTCCCTGACCTCAACGTTCGAACTAAATACTCCCGTAAACCCTTTCCCAAACCCCCGGGATCCGTGTGGGACTTGAAAAAGCCCACTCGTGGGGGAAACGTTGTCAATAAAGGTCCTTATACTGCATTTGTTTATATTTCCATTGTGTCGGTATTTTAAAAACCCTTATTTCCAAGGCTATGTTTTTTTAAATCAATGACGGAGTGGATAAGGTAACACGTACGTTGTGTTGTATCTTGATATATATTTATTTTTTTATCTTCAAATACTCTTGTTATATTTTCATCTTATTCAGGTAGCCACAGTTATTAATAGAATTAAAATTAATTTTTTTGAATTTTTGCATTGTAAAGTTAGATTAAAAGCAGGAGTTAAAACTGGTAAAATACTAGTGTTTTGTAGTGCGTTAATGGCGAGTGTTTGTGTTGGCAGCTGTGAAGTTCGGGCGGATGAGCAAGAAACAGAGAGAGAAGGTTGAAGATGAGGTGCGATACCACAAGGCAGCACAGATGGTCAGCATGACGGGTCAAGAAACCTCACCAGACTCCTCCATGTATGAACCTCCCACACCCACCTCTTCAGATATATACACGCCGTAAGTCGCACCTTCTCTATGTAATACGTGTGACAGGCAAGTGCCTAAAATATGTGACTCATTACATTGTAGGAACTAGAAAGACCTGAAGCTTTCGTGTGTTAATACGCACTTGCATATATATAATTATAGTATATATATATATATATATATATATATATATATATTATGTATGTATATTATATTATATATATAAATATATATATATATATATATATATATGTATGTATATATTATATATATGTATGTATATATGATATATATATATATATATATATAATATATATATATATATATATATATATATATATAGTAACATAACTCAACACACAATATATTTATATATTAATTATATAGTATATATATATATCTATATATATATATAAATATATATTTATATATAATATATATATATATATATTTTATAAATCACACAACACACACACATATATTCTATATATATATATATATATATAAATATTATATTTATATATAACATATATATATATATATCTTTCAAGTACACCGTATCCACAGAGGTGGGGTTACCAAAAGAAAAAACTGAAGTTCTCCTTTTAAATTTAGTAAATATATACAGAGAAGGGTTACAGCCCTTGTCCCGCATTTTATCGTCTAAAGACACGCATGGCTTAACAGAGGAAGAATTCTGTTCCCCTTCCCCATGGAGATAAGAGGAATAAACAAGAACAAAATTAGAAAGAAAATAGAAGAAAACCCAGAGGGTGTTTTAAATTTTTGTAATTTTTTGGGAGTGTGACCTAAGGTAAGTAGAAGTAAAGACCTTAAAACTTCATATTTATGAGACAGACAAAAGACACCACAATCCTACCCTCATGTAAAAAAAATTACAGGGCTTTCTTTTACACTCACTTGGCAGGAGGTAGTACCCCCCGGGCGGTTGCTTTACCAACCCTCCCTAAATATTTTTATAATGATATAAAAATTATATATATATATATTATAAATAAATATATATATTATTATATTATTTTAAAAAATTATAATATAAAATATATTATAATATTATAAATTTTTAAAAATTATATATAATATATATTATTATATATTTTTTTTCAACAAGGCCGTATCCCCCCAAGGCAGGGTCCCCAAAAGGAAAAACGAAATTTTCCCCCTTTTACATTTTTTTAATAATACGCAGAAGGGGGACTAGTCCCCCTTTCTCCCCGGGATTTTAGTCGCTTTACAACAGATGGTTTAACGGGGGAAGAATTCTGCTCCACTTCCCCATGGAGAAAAGGGAGGAAATAAACGAGAACTAAAAAAAAAATAAAAAAAACCCCCCGGGGGGGTTTTATATAATGCTTGTACATGTATTGTAGGGGCCCCCCTAAGTGTAAGTAGAAGTAGAAAGGGACGTACCTGAAATCTCCCATTTTCATGAGACAGAAAAAGGGACACCACCCAATCCCACCATCATGTAAAAAATTAGGCTTTCTTTTTAAACACCACTTTTTAGGATGGGGGATAAAAATGGGTATTTTCTATATATAATATAATATATATATTATATATATATATATATATTTTTAAATAAAAATAAAATATTTATATAGAAATTATATTTTAAATTTATATATATATATATATAATTTAAATGTATATAAATATATAAAAAGGGAAACCCCCGCATGGGCGAACGGCCTTGCAAAAGCGAACAATCCGCATAGCAACGTTTTGGGTTCGCCAAAATTTTTTGCCCCCATAGTGGACAAAAACCCCTCACGCCCTTTTCGCCGAGACCCCCCTTTGTTTACCAGCCACCTCCGGGGAAACCATTCAAGCATACCCCTGGGAAAAATTTCCCCGAAAATTAAAACAGTTTTTTTGGGGGGGGGGGCTGTTTCGGAAAAATTTAAGTGACCAGGGGCCCCAAGAAAGCTTCATTTCCAAACCCCTTGGGGGTAAAAAGGGTGAGAATTATTATGGAAAAAGAAAGATTTTAAAGGGTTTTGGGGGAAAAACCCCCGGGAAAAGGGCCTAGGGCCATTTGTGGAATCCTTTGGGTGCCTACTTCAAAAAAAAAAGGAAATGTGTGCACAGTGGGTTGAACGAAAACCCTTTTATGGAAAAAATCACCCTGCACAGCTTTTCCAAAGCCCTGGGACTATTTTCAATGACAATGATAGGGGCCCTTTTTTAAGACAAATCGAAAAGGGAAAACGGGGGGTTAAAAGAGCTCTATGGACAATTTTTTTGTGCACGGGGTCCAGTGACTCTAAAAGCTGGTCCTAGTGGAAATAAAAAAAGAAGGAAGAAACCCCCGGGAAAAGGACTTCTACCCCCAAGTCCAAAATGGGGGGGTTTCCCCCTTCAAAACACAAAACCCTCTCTTTTCCCCCCCCTCCCACCCATCAATCTTTCACCAGATCTTAAATAAAGTAAGTGTCATTTAATTGTGAAACCTTTTTCATTTTTGGTGAAACAAAAATTTTAACATTTTTTTGTGGAAAAAAAAAATTTTTTTTTCTTATTTTTGGGTGTCTTCACGATTAATTTTTTTTCCCTTTTATTTCAAAAGGGGAAAAATTTTAAATTTGCATAGTGAACATTTCGCATAACGACCAGCCCTCTTGCACGGATTAATTCGCAAAGCGGGGGTCCACTGTATATAATATATATTTTATATATATATAAATATTTTTTATATATATTTTATAATATAAATATAGAAAAAATTTTATATATATATAATATAAACAGGGTCCCCTCTTTTTTCGTAATTTAAACCCCTTCCTGAGCCGTTTTCAAAAAACGAAATTTACATTTTCGAATCAAATTTTTTTCCCCTAAAAAAATAATTTAAAACAATTTAACCGTTCCTGACACCCCCGAAGGATTAAAAAAAAAAAATTTTTTTTAAAATGAAATATGCATTTAGTACATAACCCCCTACCAAAAGGGGAAAAGAAAAGGGAAAGAAACATTAACAACATAACCCCTTACCTTTATTGGAGATTCCCTTTTTAGTGTATGGGGGGACTGGAGGGGGAGAGAGAGAGTGGATTGTTTATAGTTTGGGGAAGGGGGAAACCCCTTCCCCTCAACCCCCTCAGGTACCCATTGCCCTTTTTGGGGTTGCTTTCCTTTTCTGTTTTTTTTAAAGCCACTAGGACCAACCCTTTGAGTCCCCCTGGGGGGTCCTTTTCACAAAAAAACTGTGGGGAAAAGCTTTTGTTTCTGGGGTCTCTTTTAAAACTTCCCTAAAATGCCCAAGACCTTTTTCACTGTTCATGTTGCCAACCTGGCTTTCCAAAAACCTTTTAGGGGGATGTTTTCCCATAAAGCTTTCCCCTCTTACCCCACATAGTAAAAAAAACCTTTAATTTTTTGAAGAAGGGACCTTCCATTTTCTCTTCCTCCCCCTCTGCAGCAAGATTCTGGGTGTGATTGTTGCTCTTCCTTTCGAAGCCTTGGGAGCTCCTCATTTGGGGAGCCCCTTTATTGTGGTCTTTTCCCCAAACCCACATCCTCCAAACTCACACCCCAAATCCATGGAAAATCCCCAGTGCCAAAAATTTATTTTACAACAACTAGGGTCATTTGGGGCATCCCAAATTCTTCAAAATCCCTCTTTTCGACACAATCCCCCCCCACAATTTTCCCCAGGGAAAGTTTAAAGTCACTATTCCCCTTTGAAAAAGCACCTTTTTTTTTTGCCACTATGGAACATAAGTTGTGTAGGGTTTCTTATACATCCTGGACAGTTCGGCCCTACTTGCTAACCACAATTTCATATGTTCAATGATGGTTTCTTATTTCGTCGTATTTCTCACTTCTTTGCCACATGCTTTGTTCTAGAGCTTTCTTTGGAGCCCATGGTAAGCTTTTAGTATTGCAAGCACTAAAATAAATGGAATATGAAATATTTCAGCTGGTTGCAACGTGAGGGTGACCTTCGCTCACTGGAAATCAATGCCAGACTGGCTCGCCGACCTGGCTCACGGACCGTTGGGAGCAGGTCCATAGACGAACTGAGTCAAACTATGAAATAGCGAGCCGACCTCCCATGTTATACGAAAATGCCTCTATGATGGCGACTTTCTACGATTGCTGGGAAACTACGAAAAGCTGGGGGACCACTGTAATAGCATATATGATATATAAATATATTATATATTTTACATTGAATATATATATACTATATATATATATATATATATATATATATATATATATATAGATATGTTATGTTGAGATTTATTTCCTCTAATTCATGGCAAAAAAAAATTATTCTGCTAATTTGTTAGAGAACACCCTTCCTTAATAGGCCAAACTCACCTGTTCGGAATCTTACAAAGATGGAAATCAACATTGCTACTTGAAACATCATTTATTCACAGTTACGGTTTTGAAGAATGAAAAGTGTATTTTTTGCAAAAGAGTTGATGACCCGCTAAGAATAATGGACACTAATAATGACTCTTAGCAACTTTTTCCTCAGTCTGCCTCCTTGTAACTGTTTCTTTCGTTTACTCACGGTTTACCGCAGCTTGCAACTGTCAGAAGTCATATCTTATAGCCCAGGAATTTTACGATCAAAAATAAATGTAAACTGAAAATAACTGGATGCAACTAAAAATTGGTAGATAAAGTAAAAATATATATCCAGAACTGAAAACTAAAAGTCCCATGACATCCCAGCACGTGTCTAATGTGACGAGACAATTGGTCCTCAAGGATGTGTGGACGCCCTGTCATATGTGAAGGAAGGAGATGGACTTGTCACCTTTTTCAAATAGTCAGTATCTCCTGAGCGAGGATGCAGAACCAGCCTGATGTCCGAGAGCCATGGCGGAGCCAGGGCGTCGACGCTGATTACACTAGGATGACTGTTAAAGTTAAGCTTCCAAGGAGAGGGCTCTAGTGAACGACTGGTAAACAACACAAAGGTCACAATACCCAGACGAGCAACGATGTTTCGCTTTGACTTGGACTACTAACTAGTCATACTGACTAGTTAATGGTCCAAATTGGACCGAAACGTAGTCATAAAGTTTCTTTATCCTATGTGCGGGTTATTTGTGTAACGAGTGGTAAGTTAATGACCTTAAGATCCTTCCAGCTCATATAAACAAAGCTTTGATAAGGATACAGTCTCTCTCTCTCTTCAGTCTGCTTCAAGGAGGCGCCCCAGTTCTGTATGAAGCATCCATCATAAGGAAATTCGTGGAAAGAGTGAAATTCATTGAGAACCAAGCTCTGGAGGTCCTCCAGGCCTTGTCAACACTGTATAGTCTCTCTGAATGAACCTGGGAAAGATAATAATTTACCTCCGTGCAGGGCAAAATAATTTGATACCTAGTGATAGGGATGGATTCCGTCTGTAGTCTGGTTGTCTGATCTGGAGTGGAGCTGAAGCTGACGTAACAGGAGTGAGTTCTTTTACAGGGTGATGTAGAGATGGAAATTGCTATAGTTGAACTACACTACAAGCTACTACAGAGAGCAGGTCGTAACGAGCATAGTCTTTGCGCGATTTGTGAGGAAACCTCTGCAGTCTAAGGTGTTGGCCACTCTCTTGTGATCTCTGGACGTTTAAAAGAAGCAGTGTAAAATGAATGCTGCAAATGACACAAGTGCAGCTAATGTGACATTAGTCACATTAGTTGCACTTGTGTCCTTTTACCCAACATGTTGTCCGTAATTTTACCAATATTAATACAAAAAGAATACTGCAGAAGGCTTTCTTCATTAGTAGAACCGTTGATATCTGGAATGAAACTTAAGTGTAGATGGTGTGTGCTACAGATATCGGGAATTTTAAGAACTTTTATATAAATTTATAGCATAAAACAGGACACTATTAATGTTTAGTTCTGTAACTACAAGTACAAATCGTATGCAATAAGTAATTACGCTTACACTAGAAACGGGATTCAGTCAATTAAAAAATAACTACATGTTACTATGTAGTCATGATTTTCTTATAATAAGCAATAAGCATGTTAATTACTGTGTACCTTCCTGTGTTGCACAACCTTGTGAAGATCATATTGTTTCTGTGCATATTGCACTAAGTTTTCAGCATTTTCCTTTTCAGGTACTATGGGCCGGAAATTTCCTCCTTCTCTGCCACAGGGAAAATTTACCCCCTCAGACCACCACACCTACCATACCCTTTGAGATAAACCCAGACTATGTGGTTGACTCTACAACGTTTGATCCCCGTCAGACCTCATTAGACCCACTGCCAGACTCCGGTGCAATGTCACCAGTTGTGTCCTCTGGTGAGTCTTTTAATGCAGTCTTCATCCAATTATTACCCTTTTGTGTAATTTTTTAAAAAAAATAAAATCAACGCTGAGAGTCAAGATACAAAGGTAAGAAGGGTGCAGTTGGAACACTGGTGATAATCTTTTTTTTCCTATTGGTCAAGTATGCGTGATGTCCACTCATAGTAAGCGGGAGTCATTAAGGAAACCTTTCCCATAAAACGGATTTCAAATAGGGAAACCCCCCACCCCCCCCGACCCAGTTAGTCGATTTTATGGAGGGTTCCCATGCAATCATTTGTTAATATAGTTATTAAATTTGATATATTTTTCAGCATTTACGTAGAAATGAAAGATAATGTAGTGGTTTTTAACCAAAAAAAATATTTATTGAATTTTTATTCATTTTTTTCTTTAAAAAGAAAAAATATACCAGTTTTTTTTTTGACTTAGTTAAGTCTTAAAGGGAAAAAATATGTGGGGGAAAAAAGTATGTTCATCTTTTGAAAGGGTAAGTCTTTAAAACATGTAATATTTTGTACAAAGAAACCCCACGTGCCCCTTCTCCAATACATGACTTTTTTCCCGATTTCGACTCTTACGACCTTACCCCGCCATGCATACGCAGAGGGCACTTACAGCTGACTCGGGTGTTACTGAGTCCCCTGGAAGCAGATGTGCTATTATTTTGTTAAAATGTTAATTTTTTAATTTCAATATTGTTTTTTTTTAACCGTAAAGGTTTAAAAACCCCCTGAAGCAGGAATAAATTGAAAAAAAATTTATAATGGGACGGTTGTAAGGAAAATTTTTCTGTACAAGTTTTAAAAAACCTTTGGGAAGATAGGGCGTAGTAGCCTCACTTTTTCCTTGCAGTGGACAGTAAATAAAATTACTTTAAGACTGTCATAGATTTTTCCGTAAAAATTTCAAAGTCGATGTTTCTTTTCGCATGCACGGGGCCCGTGGGTTGGTTATCCACCTGCCTTGGGTCCTCACTAAAGCTCGGTTTTGGGTCGTCATCCCCAGGTAAAAAAGGGGCGGGCACGAGGGCTGGCTAGGGGGAGGAGGAGGAGGAAGCGAGCTAGTGGTGGTGGCAGAGCGGGGTACTGGGCCCGGGGAGTGGTGGGGGAGGGGTGGGGGGAGGTGGTACGAGTTGATGGGGAAAAGGAGACATTTTTATAAAAAAAAGAGAGGTAGAGACGTGTTTTAATATGGAACTCTACAGACCCCCAACTTAGTGAGTGTGGTGGGGTAGCGATATCAGCAAGAACAACCTTTCTCCGTAGACACACCACGACTACCTCCCCGGGCCCACCTCTCACCCCTCAGTCACCTCAACAACAACAACAACAACAACAAAAAGCACGCAGCAAACACCAACACCAGCAACTACAACAAACCAGCAGCGCCAAGCAGCAACAAAAGAGCAGACAAATGTGCGGTGCGGGCAGTGTTACCATGGAAAAAGGTATCCCCCGAAGCTTATATTTTTTGCATGTCACCAAAAATTCCCTGATATACACTGCATGAAGCATAAAAGTTTAATGTGAGTTGTAGTAGCCAAAATTCTTTAAAAAATTCAAAAAAACTTTGCAATATTTGGACTCTCAGCCCCGTATACTTGACGGTAAGTTTATTTTTTTTAAGTATTTATTCTTTAGCTTTTTTTTTTGTTTTCTTTGTATGAGTTTGTATAGGTGTAACACTTGCCCCGCAAGGGACATAAATAAATTAAAATATTTTAATTTTACAAAATAAAAACTATAATTTATGTAAGTGGTGTGCTTTTGCATTTTTTGTAGTGTTCTGTTATTGTGTTCCTTTTTTTCCCTTTTGTACAAGTTTAACTGCCTTGTTAAAATTAGGCTTCATGGAGTCTCTGAATATCCTGCCTCATCCCACCAGCCTTAAATAAAAACAGCACTTCCCACATTGTATCCTTTAAAAAAAAATGCTTTGTATCTATGGCCTGTCACAACAAACTTGTGTATCCAGTTCATTTGTTTATTTTTGCAGATTTTTGTATACGTAAATGTCTGTAAAGTTACAAATATATATATAATTAATATTTATATATATTAATATATTATATATAAAATTTTTATTAATATATTTATATAATTATTATAATGGGGTCCCCCTCTGGGGTAAAATTGTGGGACCCATGCCCGTATATTATAAAAAAGGCTTTAAGGAAGAATATTTGGATTTTTTCCTGAAGCCGTTTGAATATTCCACTTTCCCTACCACCCCATCTTTTCGTATTTTTTTTTACCAATAGGAATATTTTATTACATAATATGGTACAGAAGATTTAAGAGATACATTGTTGATATAAAGGTGGCATATAAGGTACATGTTGTTACGTGTGTATCACCGATTATAAGGCGAAAATCTCATCCAGCTCCTCAGAGCTGGGGCGTGTGCCCAAAATACAGCAAGCATTACCCCTTTGAACAGCCGCACTGAGCCGCTGGAACAGAAAACTAGCTGCCCTGGGATCCCTAGTTACCCTGATGAGTCTTTTTCCCAGCTGTGTGTGTATCAATAACAACACTGCGACTAGCCAAGAAGTCGAACCCATGCTGCTTTGGCCCGCCTCATGGTGAGCGAAAACACATGACGCTGTAAGGGACTACACAATCCTCAAGAATGACGCACCCAGCCAAGCTAGATGTTTTACCCATCATCCGAGGACATACGGTGGTGTGGGTGCCTCTGAGCTAATTTCATTCTACTCCCTGTTTGGTGTACTAGCCCAACGAGCAGTATTTTATATTACTGTATCCTCGAACAAGTGGTATTGATCAATAACAACACTGCGACTAGCCAAGGAGTCGAACCCATGCTGCTTTGGCCCGCCTCACGTGTTGTTATTGATCAATACCACTCGTTCGTGGGTACAATAATATAAAATACTGCTAGTTTGGCTAGTACACCAAACAGGGAGTAGAATGAAATTAGCTCAGAGGCATCCACACCACCGTATGTCCTCGGATGACGGGTACAACACCTAGCTTGGCTGGGTGCATCATTTTTGAGGATTGTGCGGTCCTGTGGACTAGAGCGGCATGTGTTTTCGCTCACCATGAGGCGGGCCAAAGCAGCACGAGTTCGACAACTTGGCTAGTCGCAGTGTTGTTATTGATCAATACCACTTGTTCGTGGGTACAATAATATGTATATATAAGGTGAATTGGTCAGTTAGCAAGAACTCATTTAAAATTAAGTCCTTTCTAAAATTTTCTCTTATACGTTTAAAGATATTTGTTTAGTAAGTAAGTTTATTCAGGTATACACAAATACAGTTACATAGAATTATCATACATAGCAGCATATGTGTAGAGAACCTAGGATAACCCAAAAAAGTCAGACAGAGTGACTTATTTCCATTGGGTCCTTTTACCTTATTATTATAATATAAAGGTTATAATATTTTCTTATTATTCTACAATGAAGATAACATCTTATTATCATACTAAAAAGACTATCTACTACACGAGGGTCATTAAGACTATCTATAATACGAGGGTCATTACTAGGAATAAGGTAAAATTTACACGTATGTTAGCTAAAAAATAGAAAATCATTCCCCTCCCTTTCTGTAGCTACATTCATCAGACACCTTTTGGCACTCTTCTTGAACTGGTTCATGCTATGACTGGCTTTGACATGTGCGGGCAGTCTGTTCCATTCCTTTATTGCTGTACAATAAAAGGTGTTTGACGCCTGGCCACTGACTGTGGGTACTACAAAGTTGTGCTCTCTCCCCCTAGTACTATGATTGCTCTGGTTCCCAACCTTGACAAAATTGACAGCAAGATATTCTGGACACTGTGAGCAATTTTATAAACATGATTTATCTTCAGTTGTTTTACTCTGTCTTCAACATTCAGCATATCCAACTGCTGTAATTCATCCTGGCGTACATGTTCTCTTGGTCCCAGCCCCAGGATGAATCTTACGATTTTGTTCTGGGTGATTTGCAGTCTATCTTTCAGTTTTTTTTGTCAAGGCAGAGTACCAGGAAGAGCATGCGTAATCCATATGGCATTGTATAAGGGCTAGACATAGGGTCCTGCGAGCCTCAGTAGGTAGACACTGTGCTTGTCTATACAGGAACTTCAGTCTGGCATTCGCTTTCTTTACTACACTGTTCCCTATCAATTCTCCTGACATGCATGGGTCAAAGGGGATTCCCAAATATTTTACTGATGAATTAAAAGTACTATTAAAAGTACCTTAGAAAACTTACCTAACCTTATAACAAGCGCAATTTAATTTAGCCTAATCCAAGTAAATATATTTAATTACTTAATAATATGCAAACAATGAAATTTTTTCGTTAGGTTCAGAATGATTTTTGCGAAGTTATTCCATACACAAATTTTCACTTGCCCTATTCGGCAAGGAGAGCTTTTCTGTTTAAGCCAGAAACGCAAGTTTTTCCTATTCGGCACGATATGTAATATATAAATAACATACAAGAGGTTGTAAATTTCGAACTCCGGCCGAGATATTCTTTAACAGTACAGGAAAATATAACTTACTGTATAAACGAATAAGTATACGGGCCACGTGTATGTTGAGTGGGAAGCGGATACTAAACGTCATCGGACAATAAACAGAAGTTGGACACAGGCAGAGTAACCTGCAGCCTTCTGAACTAGTGTTATGTAGTGGAAATTTCCTGATCTAACATGCTTGACCTGCAAGTCCATAAAGCTTAGGAACAGACTACACACCATGGGTTTCTTGACTTGTTTGGAATGGATGATAAAAAATGGTCATAATGTGGTGTGTGGGGGCTGTTAATGACTACATCCTGACCCCTCCCCTATCCCCCCACACACCACGTAAGAATGAGAACCTTGCAGATTTACCGTGGCTCGGTTGATAGAGCACTAAACCCATATTTAGTGTCCATGGTTCGATCCCCGGCACGGGTGGCAACGCTGGGCATGTTTCCTTACACTTGCTGTCCCTGTTCACTTAGCAGTAAGTAGGTACCT